GACAAACCAATTTCCATTTCCTGGTAAGTCAATAAGCAGAGGGATGAAAGAGATTCAAATCTGACTGTGAGAGCTTTGTGCTGGTTCTGCTCCTGTACAAGAATCAGAGCCCCAGGGCGGCCGCCCATAATAGCATCACTGCCCCCACTTTCCAGGTAAGAATGGTACAGCTCCATCCTGCTTCCTAATAGTTAAGGCTGTTTGTAAGGGCATGGCTTTCCAGGTTGGATGCAAAAAAAAAAAAAAAAAAATCAGTTATTTTTTGTTGTTTTATTTTTGCAGTACTGGGGATTGAACCCAGGACAGCTCTACTATTGACCCCAGTCCTTTTTGAGACAGGGTCTTACTAAGTTGCTGAGGCTGGCCTTGAACTTGGAATCCTCTTGCCTCAGCCTCTGGAGTTGCTAGAATTCCGGATGTTGCCACCACACTCAGCTGCTTTGTTTTCTAATCCTTCACAATAAATAAGGCCTCCCTTTTCCACTGGGTGACCCCAGGCAAGTCATTTACCTTCTCTGGGGCTCAGCTGTCTCATCTATAAATGAGAGAGCTCTAATATCTGCCCAATAATGGTTGCATCAATGAAATGCCGAGCACTGAGGAAATGTATATCTTTTCTGACCCTGCATGCCAGCTCCCTCTCTGCTGCAGTGACCTAGCTCTGCCCTGAGGCTCAGAGTAATTCAAGATATGCCTTCCACAACTCAAGAATACAGCTAACATCTAATTTAATCCTGACCTCAGGCCTGCCAACTCCTGCACCCACCTGCAGTTTGGCCCTATCTGGAAGACAGAGATCCAAGGATGGAAGACAGAATGCATCCGCGCACACCACAGCAAGATGAAGATCGTCCTTAATCCTCCCAATAAGTAAGGCCTCCTTGAGTTTGTAGAGAATTAAGTATGCTGTAATTTGAGGGGCAGCAGAGCTCAGGACCAGAAGTCACAGGACCAGGAGTGGGCAGGTTTGAATCATACTATCACTTCCCAGCTGGATGTCCCTGGGAAGTGACATCACTCTGCTGTGCCTCATCTGCCTCTTCTAGAAAATGGAGGACACCTTGGAGCACTGAGCCTGGCATCCTAACAGTATCAGAGTGCTGCCTGCCCCAAGTGCATACCCACTCCTCCACCTGCAAGGGCAGGGTGGGATTCCCAGACACCACTGTGTCCCTAGTATTATGACATACAGCTAGACACTTGGGGGATGTCTGCTCACAGGAAGAGTGGGAAAAAAGACCAAAAGAAAATTGAGTTGGGCTCTCAGTGAGGTCATTTGTGTCTAACCTATCCACTTCATGGATAGTTCCAGAAGTGAGGCCTGGATAGGGCAGAGAAAGCGCCTCACCACCTGCTCAGGGGCTCTGGAACCAGCATTTAGCCCCACATCCAGGTGCTCCTCTCCCTCTCTCCCAAGGCTGCCCCACTCACAAGGCCCTGGGAATAGACAGATACCACTAGGATTTAAAAAACAAAAACAAAAACAAAACAGGACTTTATTATTCCGATCACAAAGGGCAGGTCTTCACAGGACAGGGAAGCAAGTTCTGACAGTGGAAAGGAGCCCCTACTTGCCAGCGATGAGGGGGTTCCGAAGGACCACAATGACGGAGTCTCCACGCAGAAACATCTTGGAGATGTAGCGGTCCTTGTTGACTGGCTTGGACTTCTTCTTGCCCTTGCCACTCTTGGGGACCTCGGTCCACATCTCCTTCACATTCTCCAGCACCATGTTGCAGTGCCTGGTGGGGCAGGGAGTAGGGAAGCAATAGTTGTTGTTGGTGGGGAATCTTCTAAATACCCTTCCTCTGCCCAGCAGCATGGTATAAAGAAGGGTGCAGGCCCTGGGCCAAGGACAGCTGGGCTTCATCTCCATGTTTTTAGAGAGGCTTGAACAAAGGACTTTAATCCCCCTGTGCCTCAGTTTCCTCTTCTCTAAAATGGAAACAATCATGGTTCCTTTCTCATAGGACTGCTGTGAAGATCAGATGAATAAATACAGCATTTCTGAAAAGCACTCAGAGCACAGCCTGGCACAGAGTAAAGGCAAACACAGCTCCTCATGTGTGGTTAACTAAGTATTTAGGAGGAGCAGCAGAGAAGCACCTTCTTCTGGAGACCTAGAGGCTCCTGGGGTGCTGGGACTTGAGGTGGCACCTGATATTTGTGCTCCAGTCCTGTTGTCCCTGTCCTCACTGTGCTGGGTGGCTCATTCAACAAATGCTTTCTAAATGCAGCCAACACATATCTTTTGAAACACAACCACCAGGGCAGTGAGTAAAACATGCCTGCCCTTGTGGTGTGCACCACAGCCAGAAGAGCAAGAAACAAGGGAACAGGGATCTAGAATATACCGTCAGGTGGTGATATGAAGAGAATCAGCAGGGGTATAGCTCAGTGGTGGAGCATCTGCCTAGCACCCTGAGTTCAATCCCCAGCATCACAAAAAAAAAAAAAAAAAAAAAAAAAAGAAAAAAAGAAAAAAAGAGGAGGAGGGTGAGGGAGCTTTGTATGAGAGGTACTATGAGGTGAAATTGGCAGGGAAAGTTGGACACAGTGGCACATGCCCATTAAAAAAAAAAGCCCACAACAACAAAAATCCCATTGCTACAACACACAGACACCTCTTAACTCCACAAAGGAACTCCTGAACACCTATATGTGAGTACATGGGAGTCAAACATGGCAGGAAAGGGTGGCCAAGGGATGGAAGGCTAATGGAGGTGGAGAAAAGCGGAGACTCACCTTCATAAGAAAAATAATATCATATTAACCACTATTATATAAACATTGTTATCCCTAGTCTCTAGAGCAGGAATGCAAGGTAAAGTGGGATGAAGTGACTCTTTCCCAACAGTCTACACTCTTGTTTTATATTTCTTCAGAAAACCCATCGTCACGTATGACACACATTTATGTGCATTCCATTGGTTTCCTTTCTGAGAACATAAACTCCCTGAATATAGGAACCATGTTTGTGTTAGTCACTGTTGTGTCTCCAGAGCCTAAAATAGTACCCAATGGGGGTGGATGCTCTAATTATGTAATATCTGCAAACTGATTAAGAACACTATGTGCCAAATACTGTACTAGGCACTTTACATGTATTAAGTCACTGGATCTCTACAGCCCACAATTACCATTACTGTACCTATAAGAAAGTCACTTATAAAAGGGCACCTGACTGCTATAAGGTAGAGCTGGAACATGAATTCAGGCAGCTGGCTCCTAGGTCCATGTCCATTACCACTGCATTGTGTAGCGGGAGGGAAAGGAGAGACAGCCATACCTTGTGGTGTTAAGATGCCCCTCCCCTCTGCTGTTCTATGGCTTCGAAGTCTTTTATTCAGGCTCTTCAGACCAGAGCTGAGGAAGCTTTTCTACATCTACACCCTTTACTTACCTGTCAAAGGCCTTCACACGGCCCAAGAGTTTCTTGTTGTTGCGGCAGTTGATGAGCACTTGGGTGTTGTTCTTGACTGACTGTGTGAGCACAGAGAGTGGACCTGTGTTAAATTCTTCCTCCTCCCGCTTCTGCAGCTCCTCTGGGGTCATCTCACTCTTGGGCTTGTTGAGGAGGCTCCTGAATAAGCAAGTATAGAACCCAGAGGTGAGAAGGGCTTAGGCTGGGAGCATAAGTGATCAAGGCCTTGCCTTACAACACCCATTCTCATCTGTCTTGGCATCATCACCTGAATGCCCGACAGACGTTTCTAACTTCGCCTGTCCTAGGCTGAGTTCGCGAATGTCCGACTACCTCAACCTACTCTATCCTCAGTACTCCCCGTTGGTAACTCCATCTTTCCAGTTCTCTGGGCAAGAACTCTGATGTCTACTTAATTCATCACCTCCTACATCAAATCTACATCCACAATCTGACCATTTCTTTCCAAGGCCTAAACCTCCATGTCCCATCTTGAGATAAAAGGAAAACCTACTTTTTCCAGTACCCTACATCTGCCCCTCTCACTCTATTTCTGCCACACTGGACTCCTGGGTGGTCTTTGAATACAGGAGGCAAACTTTCAATTCAAGGTCTGTACATTTGTTTTTCCCTCTGCCTGGAACCCCCAAATAACTATGTAATTCACCATCTCATTTTCTTCAGGTCTTTGCTCAAATGTTCCTTCTTGTGATCGTTATTAAGGTACTGGCATTCCCCACTGTCTTTACCCTACTTGATTATTTCTTTATTCGAAGCTCTGATCACCTAACATACCCTATACTCGTTTATTATTCTAACTCTGGCCTGCCTACTCCGGTCTCCTAATAAACCTTTGTGAGAACTTTTTCTTGGGGGCGAGGACCTTTTATTCACTGATGTATCCCAAAACAGAGCCCAACACATGAGCATTCAATGTAATATCTGCTGAATAAATAAGCAAAATCACTTCAGTGACTTGTTACTGTAAAAGCCACCCATCTGCCGCTTAAATGATGTGGCTATGTCCCTTACCGCGAATCGTCACTCCTAATAGTCCGCACTTCCCTCCCCGAGGTTCTTTACTCTACATAGCTTCCCCTTAAAATTCACTTGAACAAGACTAACTAGGAAAGCTCTAGTCCGTTATGTAATAAAGCAGTCTCTTTTCCTGAACGCAAGATCCGCCAAAGACCCCACGCCGGTTCTCAAACTCTTCAGGAGAAAAGTACGCACTTCATCCGCTAAGACCTCTCCCTCCGCCCAGGCTCTGCTCAACCCCTTCCACCGTAAATCGGCCAAATTTACACCCTCAACCTGGCACCAACCGCCTAATCCCAGCCCAGCCTCACATGGTGGCAGCTGCGTCCTCAAGTCGCTACCGTCTCCTCCGCGTTGCTTCGGCCTCTGGAGAGGCGAGAGGAGAGGCGGGACTTCCGCTTCCTGTGGCCCACTTCCGTGGGCGCCTGCGCAAACCAACATTTGGGCAGGGGGCGTGGTCTGTTGCCATAGCGATCCCCGCCCGTTGCGCAGGGATGGGGTAAAAGCCTGCAGTAGTGGCTCGAGGCCACTCAGGACCATACGGGACAGATGCTCACGACAATGGAGAGGAGAAACGGGGTCCGGACTCAAATAATTTCGTTGTAGAATAGTATAGATCGAAGGAGGGAAACGACACGCCATTTCCAAATGCCCGCCGGCCCTGTCTTCGGGGGCGCGACCCCGCGAAGCCAATCCTCTCCTCGCTTCAGGGATAGTCACAGCTCCTTCTTCTTCAGGGACCGTTCCTCGACGTATCTATTGATCTTTCCGACCCTGCGCGACCAATCCCAAGCCTACATCCGGGAGGGGCGTGGACCTGTGCGGCCCGGTGTTTTCCCTGATCAAACGCCGCTCATTGGCTTTTCCTCCTCCGCGGAGGCGGTCCCTATTCCTTTCGTGCTCCCTTTAGGGTTGTGCAGCCCTTAGGGGAACCAACCCCAATGCCCCAGGGAGTCAGGGAGGCGTGTCCTCAGAACACGAATTTCCATTGGTTTCACTGCCCGCTCGGGTGGGATGGTCTAGCCTCTCTTGTGGCTCATTGGGTTTGTGATTCCATGGGGCGGAACTTGGCTGGGCCTAAACTCAATCCGCGGTCCCCGACCGGTTTCAGGGCAAAGCTGCTATGCCTTCCGGGGGCCGCGGTCGACCCCGGTTACGGCTCGGGGAACGTGGCCTCACGGAGCCACCCTCATTGCCCAAGCGCCGCCTGCTACCGCGGGTGCAGCTGTTGCCCGTGCTGCTGCTGGCGCTGGCCGTGGGCTCCGCGTTCTACATCATCTGGAGCAGCTGGCACCGCGGGACTGAGGAGCTGTCGCGGGGCCGGCAGCTGCGGGTGAGGACGGGCAGGGGAAGGGCACCGCCGGAGTACGTGTTTCCCACTTCCCCTTCCCCAGTTTCGGTTGACGTGGCTGTATCGTATGGCCCTAGCCGCAGGTGCCACCTTGTCTGTCATTTGAGCCCATGCCTTTACCAACGGAATAAATCTTCTATCTTGTCCTGTAATAGTAGCTCTCCTTTAAGAGGTAGCGTCTGAAGTAGTAAGGTTGGGAGATCTGGGCTTTATGCCTCAAGTTAATTATTTGGAAGTCTCTCTTCCTCTCACCGGAGTTCCATTTCCCCGTCAGGATTGAGGTAGGCCGGACCCTATGGATTTGGAGGGACTTTTCCTGAACCTAGGATTTATCCTAGAACTCTCCGATCCCGGAGGCTCTGCCAAAAGAAATAGGGGCTCCTTAGGGGCAATGGCGCCCGGGATAGGATCGAAATGGGGGTTGCTTTCATTCTTCTCTTCCGTATCCCATCTCCTTTCAAGGCCCCGCCGATTGGAAGCCTCCCAGAAGACAGGCTGCGATGGGTGGTGGGGCAACTAGACCCACAGCGTCTCTGGAGTACTTACTTGCGTCCTCTGTTGATTGTGCGAACCCCTGGCAGCCCAGGCAATATCCAAGTCAGAAAGGTAAAGGGTCCTATCTCTAATCCCTGAATCTCTGGCCTCCCAGTAATTGGGAAATAGGCAGCCTGTCCAAGATCCCCTGGAGTTAATCTGAGTCTGGAGTCCCAAGCATGCACACACTACCAGTTTGCACTGTCCCCGCTGTAGGTTTACTGTGTGCTAGGCACACCCAGAAAATAGCCCTATGAGGTGAGAACCAGTATGATAATCATTATGCAGATGAGGAAACTGAGGCCCAGAATCCCACAGCTAATAAATGGTAGACCTGGGGTTTGAAGTGGGTAGACTTCAGAACTGGTGGTATAACATCTCTACATTGCCTTCCAGATACCATGTTTCCAATCCACCTCACCCAGTATTAGTTTCTAAACCTCTCTGGGACTTTGTTCCCCTCATGAGGCCATTTGTTGATGGTTGTTACCCACAGAGTTCTTAGAACAGGGCTTGCACATAGCGATGTTTAAGAGTAAGCTGTGCCAGTTGTGGCAGTGCATGCCTGTAATCCCAGCAGTTTGAGAGGTTGAGGCAGGAGGATCGGGAGTTCAAAGCCATCCTCAGCGACTTAGCACGGCCCTAAGCAACTCAGTAAGACCCTGTCTCTAAAAAGTATATATATAAGGGCTTGCGATATGGCTCAGTGGTTGAATGCCCCAGGTTCAATCTCTGGTACCAAAAAAAAAAAAAAAAAAAAAAAAGCTGTGATTAGTCTTGTTGACATTGAGAGAGAGGTGGGGTCACCCCAATATGTGGCACTCAGTTGGTACTCAGTAGAAGTGTGGCAAAGGAATGATTTAAACCAAAATAGGACTTCTGAGTCAGCCTGACCATTCTGCAGGGCTCAGGTCACATGGCTCTTCTCCCCACCTCCTCCCCAGTCCCTGTCCACCCTCCCATCTCTTTCTTGCCACTAGTTCCTGGAGGCCACGCTGAGGACCCTGACAGCAGGCTGGCATGTAGAACTGGATCCCTTTACAGCGTTGACGCCCCTGGGGCCACTGGACTTTGGCAACATAGTGGCCACGCTGGACCCAGGGGCTGCCCATCACCTCACCCTTGCCTGCCATTATGACTCGAAGCTCTTCCCTCCTGGGTCAGGCCCCTTTGTAGGGGCCACGGATTCGGCTGTGCCCTGTGCCCTGCTACTGGAGCTGGCCCAGGCCCTTGATCTGTTATTGAGCAGGGCCAAGGAGCAGGTGAGGAACAGGGGTGGAAGGAGGAGTGGGAGGAGGGGTGGACGGGCCTCTTCTACCTTGGTCCAAACTCCCACCAACTCTTGCCTTGGTCATTTGCCCAACCATGCACTGAGCCACGTGCCTCAAATGTTAGATCCTGTCCCACTTCTGCCAAACCTTCCCATGGCTCCAATAAGGTTTCTGGTTTAAAACTCAGGTTTATTCCAAGCATAAACCAGAATTCTTACTGGCCTGTGTGTGCCTGACAGCCCTCTAGTCTCATCTCATACCCTGCACCCCTCACTTTGCTCTAGCCACACCTACCTCCTCCAGGTCCCTCACACCCACAGGGTCCTCTCCTATCTCCGGACATTTGCACTTGCTGTTTGTTCTGTATAGAATGTGCTTTTTTACCAACAATTAAAAAAAAAAAAAGAATGTGCTTTTTTCAGATCAGCCTTTCCCTTCCTCCCTTCCATTCAGGTATCCACTCCAATGGCATCTCCTTCCTCCCTTCCATTCAGGTATCCACTCCAATCACATTTCTTCTAAGAGGCTTTCCCAACCACCCTAAAGTAACTCCCTGTCATCATCTCATGCTTTATAGTATTTTGTTAACTATTTTAAAATTTATTCTTTATAGATACACAAAACAGTAGAATGTATTTTGACATATGCATGGAGTATAACTTATTCTAATTAGGATCCCATTTTTGTGGTTGAACATGATGTGGAGTTATACTGGTCATATAAATCATATATGAACATAGGAAAGTTATGTCCAATTCATTCTACTGTCTTTCCTATTTCCATCCCTGCTCCCTTCCATTCATTCCTTTTTGTCTAATCCAATGAACTTTGATTCTCCCCTCCCCCTGCCCTTTGTGGTGTTTTCTGTTTTGTTTGCCTATCTCCCAACTAGAATAAACTCTAGGAAGGCAGGGGCTTGGCTGCTTTTGTTTCTTGCTGTATCTCTTGGATCAGAATATTGCCTGACGTAAACTAGGGCATCAATACAAGTTTGTGGAATGAATGAATGATTGAATGAATGAATAAGTAAATGAAAACATGCTTGTCCCCTGCTCAAACCCCTTTCCAGCTCCCGAATGACCTTATAACAAAGCCTAAATTCTCTTGGACCTTGCTCACCCCTCTGGTCTCCTCTCAAACTGCTCTGGCCCATTCCATGGCCCCAGGCTTAGTCCATGTTATTCCCTAGCCTGGAAATACTCTTCCCTCTGCTCCACACCTGGCAGGCCAGCTCCTAACCCCTCACCTCAGTGTGAACATCCTTCCAAGCAGACCCCAGGCCTTCTCTAGGCCAGGTCATCCCCCAGTTAGGCTAGCACATCCCTCTGCTGCGCTCTTTCAGAACATCAGTTCCTGGAAGCATCTGTCTTGACTGCATTTCACTGTTTATAAATTCATCTGTGGGTCTCTCCCACTAAAATGATTATGATGAATAATAACCAGAGCTAACCTGTGTTTAGTTATCATATGCCAGGCACTGTTCTGTCCAAAGCGTACCTTATGAATACAACTATAATTAACCCCATTTACAGATGAGGAAGCTAAGGCCTCAGGAAGTTATTAACTTACCCATATTTGCTCAGCCATGAGCAGCAGGGTGTGAATTTAAACCCAGGCACTCTGGCTTGGTCCTACCCAACTGTGCAGGTGGCAGGGCATGTGGGTGGACTGATGCTGAGAGTTGGCAGTGATCTGGCTTTGGGTACTTGCTCCCACAGGCAGCCCCAGTGACACTACAGCTGCTCTTCTTGGATGGTGAAGAGGCGCTGAAGGAGTGGGGACCTAAGGACTCTCTTTATGGCTCCCGGCACCTAGCCCAGCTCATGGAGTCCATACCCCACAGTCCTGGCCCCACGAGGATCCAGGCTATTGTAAGACCAGGGCCCACTGGGTTCTAGCAAAGGAAGGGAGAAGGTGGAGTGGGGCTGGCAGGATCCTGCTTGGTCCCGTCCCACCCTGGACTCTCTCCCTAGGAGCTCTTTGTGCTTCTTGATCTTCTGGGAGCACCCAACCCAACCTTCTACAGTCACTTCCCCCGCACTCTCCGCTGGTTCCATCGGCTGAGGAGCATCGGTAAGAGTGAACACGGCAGAGGCAGGTGCAGCTGGGATGCAGGACGGAGAGCTGAGCTGGTGGGCCAGGCACCTGTTGTCTAAGGGCTCACCCAGGGCTCCTTCCACCTCCCTGGTCTCTGAGGACCAGGGATGAAACAAGCTGATCCCACAGAGGTCAAGTGTAGAGATAAAAAACGGGCTCCAGGGAGAGACAGCTGGTCTCATAGCCCGAGTCTGTGAACTTGGGCATGAGCTTCACCTCTCTGAGCTTCAATTTCCTATCAGTGAAAAGGGCATGATCATGACAATAAGAGGGGCGTCTACTCTTAGACTCAGGGTTAGGTGAGATGAGGAGCGTGGGGAAACACATTCATTCATGTTGGGACGACTAGTGTTCAGTCTCTGGAAACTGATCCTCTCAAATTTGTGAACTGGGGCTTCTCTGACTGGCAAGGACTAACCCCTGCCTTTAATCCCCACCACTTCCAGAAAAGCGTCTGCACCGTCTGAACCTGCTGCAGTCTCATCCCCAGGAGGTGATGTACTTCCAGCCCGGGGAGCCTCCTGGCTCTGTGGAAGATGACCACCTCCCTTTCCTCCACAGAGGTACTTGCCCTAAGCAGGGAATAATGGGGATGGGGGTTCAAGGAAGCCACAACTCAGCCCTGGCAATGGCCCCTTCTCAGGTGGGGGCCAGTGGCATATTGCTTAACTTCTTGGTGCCTCAGTTTCCTCATCTGTAAAATGAGGATAGCTCAGAAGTTGTTGAGAGCATTGTGCTAATGTAAAGGCCTTATCTGGACCAGCGCACAGCACATAAGAAATGTTAATTATTTGTACCACAGTGATTGCAAAATTTATTCTTCCTTTTAAAGTCTTTCAAGGCCTTGGTGGCCCAGCAGAATCGCCAAAAGAGTTAAAAAACTGCCCAATCACATTTCAGCCCTACTGGTTCACAATCTTATTCTCTGGAGGGCTGGGGATATAGCTCAGTTGGTAGAGTGCTTGCCTTGCATGCCCAAGGCCCTGGGTTCAATCAGTACCACAGGGGGGAAAAATGTACTCACAATCTTGGGCTCTACATGATCTTTACAAAGCTCCCACATAATTTAATGTCCAGCCAGGGTTGAACACATCTGGTATAGGAGTTAAGAACATAGATATTAGGGGCTGGGGATGTGGCTCAAGCAGTAACGCGCTCGCCTGGCATGCGTGCGGCCCGGGTTCGATCCTCAGCACCACATACCAACAAAGATGTTGTGTCCGCCGAGAACTAAAAAATAAATATTAAA